CCGCCCTTCAAACAAACGAAGAGAAAAAATACGATTTGTAAAGTAGATTTCGCCGTATGTCAACTTCACGCAGTGGATCCAAATTTTCTTTGTCCTAAGTGTTAGTCGATGTCCCAGTTCTCAAGACATTTAAGACGTTCTAGAAAATTATTGATGACCTATTTCTCAGTACATCGATGACATACAATAGTCCTTTCACTTTCCATTACCCATAAGGAATATGTTGGCTCTGAGGAAACCAAAGCCGTTACAGATTTCCCCGCTGTGATTATTGTAACACACGACCTGACCTTGCTTGAAAGTACGCAATTAAAAATGGTTTACGCTACCGAGGTCACTGCGTTTAGTAACAATGACGATTTCACACAAGCGCTTACATTAGATCTAACCATAGTATTCTTTGAGGCTGCACGCTTTTTTCCGTTCCCTCGAACCCCCGAAATGTAAAATGTCAAAGACTAAATTATGCCGCCGTAATTGTAAATTTGAATTGCTAGCTCAGGAATCGTAGATATTCCAAAGGGATCAAAGGAATTCGCTGCTTTGAATAAACCGTTTGACCAGCAGATTAAAAGACATGAAATTCTTAGGATCAGTCAAAAATATCACAAGACTATGCAAAAGAAAACAGGGCAATGTAATAGACAGCTTTTGAGAACATTGCAAGGAACTGGGTACGAGAAAGTGAACAGACTATAGAAGGTTCATGTAAAGGTCAGGTAGTCCGTAGTTGATCCACAGCACCAACACAGGAGACCCATGTATTCCACGATCTGAAGTAATGCTGCAGAATATAATCGCTAAAGTTACTTTTCTCAAGTGTAGTTGGCACACCCCTCACTCACAAAAGAGACCATTACTCAATGACTGTTTGGGATATCTGAAAAAAATGTTCACAACAGAACCACCAAGACAGGTCTTTCTATGCAGAAATTCACTAGATTACAAAAATATGAAATTGTTTATTCCAGTGGCATGGGAAGAGAAGGCTTTTTCACTCAACTTATTAAATCTTGCAGTGAGCACTCTTGTGAGATTTTCATCCACAGATCTAAAATGTTTTCATCTACATAGCATTTTAACCTCCTTGATGAGGCCTAAGATTCCTACTCTGTAGACATTTTTAGGTGATCTTCTAACAAGAAACAGCAAAATATAATCTAGTAAAATCACAGGAAGTCAATCCATTTACTACTTTGGTTGTTGTTTCTTCTGCACTTTGATAATAATTATAAAGAAGCTCAAACATGTGGTTAAAGAACATTTTAGAAAATATGATTCTAGAAAACGTGGCAGAGTGTACTGTAAAACATCGCTAAACAAGAAGAGACCAGAGTCACACCGAAGCTGGGTGGATGTCAGAAGAAAGAATCCGTCGGCCAGTTGTTCGGCGGTACTAAGCCCCAAATTGTTATTCTCTTTTTGTTACAGTTTGTCAGCTTGTAGTGTTGATTACTTGTTCTCAATAATAATTAGAGGAAAATTCAAATTCTGAATGTTGAAACAAACCCCCCCCCCCCCCCCCCCCCCCAGAAAAATACATAAAGTAGGTGTAATTGTTTAAAGGATGTAACAGTTTCTTCTCTCCCCTCAACAAACTACTTTCAGTTGATCTATCCCATAGGGAGCGCCACGAAAGCGACACACATTTAGAAAGAACTTTACGACACTTATAACGCAATAGGATCATATAAGTGCAATAGACTAGATGTGTTACTAGAGATAATGATTATACGAAAAAAGCAGGAGAGATAAGGACGATAGATGTTTGACAGGAAAGAAGGAGCAAATCACACCAGAGCACCCGTAAACCCTCCACAAGGCACGCACTATATTTATAGAAGAAAGGGTACTTTCTGCATGGAGACAACCCTCTCCGGGGTATGTCCCAGAATTACGATTCCTGGTCCTTAATATTAACAGGAATGCCCGTCCCTGTGAAATTGAAAAAAAAAGATAACTTCGATCGTATCTAATAGCTTCAAAATCTGGTCTGTCTATGTGGAGAAGGGGTATTTGTCCCATCTCACAGGATAGCATAGAGGTGCTAGAATGGGTGGTAAAGGCTACAAAAGCCTTAATAAACTGAATTGAAAAAAACATCAAATAAAATTAATAATTGTCTCTCTTACTCTTTCGTTTTAGTGTTGAAATGTCAATTACTCACTCACATTATCAATGTATTATGTATTATGAATGGGATCATTAACGTGCAACCTACCAACGGAAACAAGTAAAAAAAAACCAACAAAAAACAACATAATAATCTATCTCTGTATCGCAACTCTTGATTTGTGAGGCAGCGTAGTGAAATCAGGCGCTCGTCAAAATAATCAAAGTAAAGACACTTGCTTTTTTCTGCAGGTTTGTGAATTTTCATCAAATTTTTGTTTTTTAGTTCAACACCTTTCATGTCCATTAAAGTTTAAAGAACTAATATCTGTGTGGATTTTTCTGAAAAACGTTGATTAAAAGCACAAAAAGTGAACATTTTCTGTTACCACCGACTCTTAAGTTAAGGAAATAACTAATCTTTGACCTCCTTCATTCGCAAATATCTCGACTTGTATTCAAGATAAATGGATCTTTTTTCTTCCAAATAAAGACAAGTTAACAAGCTATAAGATGATACCAATAACTCTACATGCCCAAAAATTGACGAGAGCCTGATTCCACCACGCTGCCTCACATTTCAGCTTTTTGATACATGATTATTATTACAACACATGCTTTGGTCGCGCCTTGAAAAGAAATTACAGTCGAGATTGTCTAAGATGGCCACACACTGTTGAAAAAAGAGGTCGTCTTTGACAGGTGGACGTCTTAAACAGTGCCATTACAATGTTAAAAAAAAGAAAA